TCGTTCCTTGTTGTTTGGGACACCCAGGGCGTTACAGAAGCTCCGGACTCATTTAACCGGGTTAAAAGTTTAGGAGGTAGTGCGAATTTATTGGTAACCGTTCGGAGACCACTGACATCGACCATCGGTCTCGGAGAATCTCGCCCATATCTTGGCTTTGGTGGAGGAACTGCCTCAGTGAGAGTGGATTCCGAACAACATGAACATCGGCTGGTGCTCTCTTCCTGGTCACGGTCACGTTTTGACTGCATACCCACTTCATACGATGGTTCAGAAATAATGTCACATACTTGACCTAGTTTGACACCGTGATTTGAGATAATACGAAAGCTACCCTCATCGCCAGCTGTACGACGAATTGTGAGCGAGTTTCCCGCTTGTGGTACTTTATTCAAACGTTCTGATTGTCCCGTACCAGATCCGTGACAAAACTCGCAAGTGCACGGGTGACTGCCAGTGATGGTAGAGCTTGTGGGACAGTCACATGTCCCATCTCGACAACAACCACATGTTTCAGTTGTATGATCACCAGAAATATTGAAAGCCTTCTCGCTATTGTTTACTGTCATGCGATTGCAGTATCGTTCGGCTGAAGGATTGCCATATACTCGGAATAGAGGAGTTTGGTTTGATCGTTGAACGGTGGAACCTTGTGAAGAATTTTGACTCGAGGATCCTTCAACAAATACCACATCTTCATTGCCAACCGCAACCGGACTTGTACTTCCCTTGACTGAAGCGTGCGCACCAGAGATCAGGTTATGCGAGTCTTTCGATTCGGCCGTATTGAGCGGTTTATTTGGACACTTTAAAACCTCACCTCGATGCAATGTTGCTTGACGTTCCTTATCACCAGTGTCACCTTGGCAGTCATCTTCCACTGTATTCGATCTTCCAGAAGAATGGAACATACAGGCCGCAGTTCTTCCATCGGCTACGGGAATGGCAGTGAATGTTTGTGGTGATTTAGGTGCTTGTGTCGTAGACACTTTATTTGTTTTAACAATGAGGTCCATACTGTTAGAAACAGATGGAGCATTGTCGCGGACTAATTGATACAAACTTCTTCGAGGTACTGTTGACTGTTCGGGAACTGGAATCTGACTGACTGGAACGTGATGTTGCAGTGCTGAAGCACCATTGACTATTCCTTTAGGATTACAGATGGATTTTGCGGGTCCAGATGGATTAGAATTTCTCTTAAAGCTCTGAATTTGCGGTAGGATTATGTAACTCGTTGGACTTGGAGAAACAAAAGGCTCGGATTCTATATCGTTCATGTTTTGAGGCACAGTTCGTGGAAGGCATTTTGTTGAATCATTCGGAGGTCGTTTTGCTTCTGGAGCCCAGTCAACTCGAACAAGGTTGGCGGTGGGAATTGGTAGCCTGGAGAGGTTTTGATTTCCTCTGTTTGTTGGGGTCACAGGACTAGTGCGACAAGAGTTCAAATGTTTCAGTTGCTCTTCCTATAATCAAAAAGGTGGAATGACATAAACAGTGAAATATTAGTTAATAATAATAAAGCTTTAAGTTTTATAATAACTCAACTGGTTTTTGTTTCCGACCTCGAATATGATACCTTCTTTCGTTACTTTCCATTGCTTTTGATAAATAGCTTCATCGTGGATCACAACGTTGCAGTGCACAACCTGTCTTTCTTGCTCGTCCTCTTCCAATAAAATCTGAACTATCATGTGATACAATTGCAAAAAGGTTGGCAGTCTCAGTGGGATTCTAACTCCTACATAGACAGCCCAAAACGTTTAACACAGCATCCTAAATAGGCGAGCAGTGTAGTTGCACTAGTTTCAATGATATTTTCACTTTTGATTATCCAAAGAACTTACTTACTTATATGTAAAAATCGGATACCATGCGAGTTTAATGACGCTTCAGGTTTTCCCCAGAATATTTGCTATCCAGGTTATTCATATTCCTTTTTGAGCTGAGTAGATAACCAAATGTGAAAAAAATCAGATCGCTTCGTGTGACCTTGTTGCCCATTTGCTACGGCGTACGCTGCACAGTGGCTTAGCCAACATTTATGCTTCGGTTCCAATCCCACCGACATATTTTATCTCTACATGATAGGACTACAGTACACCTTCTACAAATCTACGGTCAGCGAAACGCAAATTTATCTGAAAAATACCAGTGACATAATTAGATTTCATTTACCCCAAACCTTATGTGGGCAAAATTAAAGTACTATTACTAATTATAAACGCATTTGAAATGTGTGCATCCGTTTGCTTTAATTAACTCATTTGACTTTGTTTGTGTGAACTTTATATTTCTCTGTATATTTCTATTTCTTGCAAATGTTTGTAAATCGTTCTAATCGCTTCTATCTGTTCGTGAAAAAATCTAAGGAAGTGTATCCAACATTATCTGATTCCATTCAGATATTAACCAGTGAACATGAGATGCAACTTTTCCAAAGAATAAACTGGTTTCTGTAAATAAGATTTAATAAAATTGACAACTTCCGAGCATTGCCGTAGTTTCGATTGAGGAGAACCGTAGATGAGGTCACCCGATCTGTACAGATCTAATGGTTTTGAAGAAATTCCCCACGCCGTTCCATTTAACATTTTCTCAGCTACGAACCATTGCCCTCTTTCCTTTTTACCCCTACCCACATTACGGGGATTGAATTTGTCGTTTAGACCACTTGTGTATTTACTCCTATCCCTAATCTCATACTTCACTTCTTGATCTCGACCATCTGACATATTTGATGACATGTTGGTACCAGCAAATCTGTCTTTACTCCATACAAGTGATCTACGTTTTCCCCTGTCCGATGGAACTGACCATTAATCATACCGCATCAGGCTATATAAAAATTTGTTCCTTACCAGTGTCTCTGCTTGCCCGTGAACTCTGGTTTGGTCAGCTGGCACTGATCACTCTTAAGTACCCCGCATCCACTGAGAATTAGCACCTGCATTTGCCTCTTTAAATACTTGATTTCCTTTGGTATTCCTCATTCCTTGGTCTGATTGTGACTTTCGAATGGTTTGAGTCAGACCCAGTTCCGTTTTCCTCTATCTTACCTGACCTCTAAGCTGGATCGCTCAATACTTGAGGTATTTTGTGAATGTTGCCAGTTTGTCCGTATCGCAGTCTATATAGATGATCGAACTCCAGTTCTATATGTCTGGACTTGGGGTTCCGTTTTCTGTACGTCACTCGGTCACTGGAAGCCAATCTGGTACGCTGTCTAAGCGTCAAACAGAACGATTTGAAATTAGGCACAAGGTGAACAAAGCCCGAATAAAGAAGTTGTCTGACAGATCACCTGTAATGTACAATTTCGAATGTTCATGCATAGCATCATATATTGCACAGCAGACAGACAGTTGCATACTGGGATTAAAGAGAAACTTTCACGCTGAGTAAGACGTCGGTTGAACCAATCATCTGATCCAAAGGCATCCGCACACTTCACGCAGCACATGCACAACAACACTTAATCACTGAAATTCTCCATCTCCTCCAAATGGGGAGTCAACCCAAATTGATAAGGTAGCCCTCAGTGGACATGATCTAGTACACATTTGCGGGTCTTATGGGACCACGTGCGTTAATTCTGGTCACATACCAGTTCTGATGCACGGTACGATTTTACACATCGGTTACCGGTATAACCGGCAGCCGCGGTTAACCCCCATTGCTTAAGCAAGCCGGTTGCGCCCGTTATTCAGAACATTTTAAGCAGCACCTAGGAGTGCTGCGACGTGGCCAATGAGAGCAACAGTAAGATCGGGTGAGACGAGCAACGTATTCTGTATCAAATTTTGTTTATGGAACCAAGCTCAAAGTTCATCAAAGACGTTGATCTTCCAAAAGTTAGTAAACCTGAAGGAACAGCAGATAAAGATACTAACTTGATAGGATCAACACAGGTACAGCCGACGTCCTCAATATCACCTCAGGAAAAGACTTGACAAAAATCGGGAAAACTGGCAGATCAAAAGAACTAGTGAAGTAGAAGTACCCTGTATCTCAGAGAACAGTCGAAGACCGTTTTATCTGATGTGCGGGTAGTAGGTCGTCAGGTACCAACTAGAGTAAAGTGGATACGAAATCCACAATAAGAAGCAGTGACTTGATTGCTGAACAGAGTACTTTAGTGAATAGTTTGACTGACTTGGTGTTAACATGATTGTTCCGGTGGTTTCACTTGATGCTCCCTGGTCGGCAGCATCTGAGCCTCAACAAAATCAATTC